CTGAGATATTATAGGTTAGGGTTTAGACCACTGTAATAAAGTGAAAATTACAGTAAAGCAAGTCAAATGAATTTTTAAAATTTCCCACTGCATATAAGTTATGTTTATACTATACTGTAGTCTATTAAGTCTTTAATAGCATTATGTCTTAAAAAATTGTACACATACCTTAATTAAACATACTTTAATGCTAAAAAATGCTAACTACCATATGAATTTTCAGTGAGTTGTATTTTTTTTTTTAAAGATTTTATTTGTTTGACAGAGAGAGACACAGTGAGAGAGGGAACACAAGCAGGGGGAGTGGGAGAGGGAGAAGCAGGCTTCCCACGGAGCAGGGAGCCCGATGCGGGGCTTGATCCCAGGACCCTGGAATCATGACCTGAGCCGAAGGCAGACCCTTAACAACTGAGCCACCCAGGTGCCTCGAGTTGTAATCTTTTTGCTGGTGGAGGGTTTGCCTCAATATTGATGGTTGCTAAAGGTTGGGGTGGGTGTGGCAATTTCTTAAGACAGTAAAATCTGCCACATCAATTGACCCTTCCTTTCATGAACAATTTCTCTGTAGCATGCAATGCTGTTTGATAGAACATCTTTCAAAATTGGACGCAATCCCCTCAAACCCTGCTGCTGCTTTAGCAACAAAGTTTGTTATATTCTAAATTCTTTGTTGTGATTTCAACAATCTTCACAGCATCATCACCAGGAGTAGATTCCATCTCAAGAAACCACCTCCTTTGCTAATCCATAAAAAGCAAGTCCTCATCCATGAAAGTTTTATCATGAGATTGCCGCAATTTAGCTGTATCTGTAGGCTCCACTTCTAATTTGAGTTCTCTTGCTATGTCCACCACATCTGCAGTTCCCTCCTCCACTGAAGTTTTGAATCCCCCAAAGTCATCCATGAGGATTGGAATCAATTTCTTCCAAACGCCTATTAATGTTGATGTTTTGACCTCCTTCCATGAATCACAAATGTTAATGGCATCTAGAATGGTGAATCCTTTCCAAAAGGTTTCAACTTACTTTGCCCAGGTCCATCAGAGGAATTATTATCTATGGCAGCTATAGCTCTACAAAATGTAAATGTTAAAATAAAAGACTTCAAAGTCCAAATGACTCCTTGATCCATGGGCTGCAGAATGGATGCTGTGTTAGCAGGCATGAAAACAACATTATATCATTGTACATTTCCATCAGAGCTCTTAGGTGACCAGGTGCATTGTCAATGATGGATGATGTGCTATCACCCAGGCTTTGTTTCTTCCATTTATAGAGTATAGGCCAAGTAGATTTGGCATAATTCTTAAGGGCCCTAGGATTTTCAGCATGGTTAATAAGCACTGACCTCAACTTAAAGTCACCTGCTGTATTAATCCCTAACATAAAAGTCAGCCTGTCCTTTGAAGCCAGACATTGACTTCTCCTCTCTAGCTATGAAATCTTTGATGGCATCTTCTTCCAATCAAAGGCTATTTGGTCTACACTGAAAACCTGTTGTAGTGTAGCCACCTTCATGAATCATCTTAGCTAGGTCTTCTGGATAACTTGCAGCTTCTCATCAGCACTTGCTACTTCACCCTGCTCTTTTGTGTTATGGAGACAGCTTCTTTCCTTAAACCTCATGAACCAACCTCTGCTAGCTTGCAACTTTTCTTCTTCAACTTCGTCACCTCTCTCAACCTTCAGAGAACTGAAGAGGTTAAGGCCTTGCTCGGGATTAGGCTTTGGTTTTTAGGAGAATGTTGTGGCTGGCTTCATCCTCTATCTAGACCACTAAAACTTCTTCCATTAGTAGCAATAAGGCTCATCATTTGTGTGTTCACTGGAGTAGCACTTTTAATCTCCTTCAAGAACTTCTCTTTTGCATTTGCAACTTGGCTGTTTGGTACAACAGGCCTAGCTTTTGGGCTATCATGGATTTTGACGTGCCCTCCTCACTAAGCTGAATCACTTCTAGTTTTGGACTTACAGTGAGAGATGTGCACCCCTTCCTTTCACTTTAACACTTAGGCCATTGCAGGGTTATTGATTGGCCTAATTTAAATTATTATTGTCTGTCAGGACACCAGGAGGCCTAAGGAAAAGAGAGGGACAGGAGAAGGGCCAATGGGTGGAGCAGTGAGAACACACACAGTATTTATAGATTGTTTGCCATCTTATGTGGGTGCAGTTGGTGCATCCCAAAACAATATTAACATCAAAAATAACTGATCACAGGATAAAGAAGATGGAGTATATATATACAATGGAATATTACTCAGCCATAAAAAAAGAATGAGATCTTGTCATCTGTAACAACATGGATGGATCTAGGTGGCATTATGACAAGAGAAGTCAAACAGAGAAAGACAAATATCATATGATTTCACTTATATGTGGATAAAAAAACAAAAAACAGAACCAAACACATAAATACAGAGTACAAATGATGGTTGCGGGGGCGGAGGGGGGAGTGCGGGATGGGCAAAATAGGTGAAGGGGAGTGGGAGATACAGGCTTCCAGTTATAGAATAAGTCACTGGGGCACGGGGGTGCCTGGCTGGCTCAGTCAGTAGAGCATGTGACTCTTCATCTCGGGGTCATAAGTTCAAGCCCCACATTGGGCACAGAGCTTACCAAAAAAAAAAAAAACTGTCATGGAGATAAAAGATACATATAGGGAATATAGTTAATGGTATTATAATAGAACTGTATATGACTGATGGTAACTACACTTGTGAGCACAGTATAATGTACAGACTTGTGGAATCACTATGTTGTACTACTGAAACTAATGTAACATTGTGTGTCAACTCTATTTCAATTAAATGAAAGAGCTCACTGATCAGGGATCACCATAACAAATACAATAATGAAAAAGTTTGAATATTACAAGAATTACCAAAATGTGACACACAGATACAAAGAGAGCTGTTGGGAAAAATGGCACCAACAGACTCGCTCAACACAAACCTTCAATTTGTAAAAAAAAAAACCCCAAAAAACCAAAAACCAGTATTTGCAAAGCACAATAAAGTGAAGAGCAATAAAACAAGGTATACTTGTACTTAACTAAACAAGGGTAGTTTTTCATATCATCTTCAATTATGAGTTCCAGACTCCTAATTCCCTTTTTAGATAAAAACTTTTCAAGATCAGAAACATAAGCCATAGGAAAGACTGTAACATGAACTGAAAGCAAGGTTTCTTCTATGAGTTTGATAAATATTCATAATGGTGATTCTGATGCCAAGTCATTATTTGCATGCAAAGGTTTTCCTTCCTCAAAACACCTTGATCTTAGATTTTGGGTTTCACTAGATTAAAAGCAGAAGTGAATCCTATTACAAGGCCACTTCCCTTTTCTGAATAATGGGGTTTAAATAGTTTGGTGGCTTTCCAGGTTGGAGGTCTCAGGTCATAAGATCTGGAGGACTCAGCTTATGAGTTCATTCACGCAGAGTCCATTGGCATCCCTGTGCTTTGAAGAGCTGTTAGACCTCACAGGGTAGAGGTGAGTTGAGAAGATGTCACAGAGGAGAAAGGCAGTCTCCACATAGGTCACAATTGTGTAGCTGTGTACACGGCACATGCTGCACATCCCTTATAGCATTTGGTGGATAATAAAGGTTCATTTTTCCTTCAATTTACTTTTAGAATCCTTAATGTTACCTCTATGAACAATATATTGCCATGAACAATGAAATGCCATGGGTTAAAACACCACACTTGTAACTAGTGTCTCTAAAATTGGGTCACATCAAATCTATAACCTTGAAACTAAGAATTTCCTTTTAGACTTCATGCCAATATACCCGCCACTTAGAAGAACAAGTGCATCAGGGGGTGAGGTGGGAGAAAGAACCTAGATAGTAATCATGGTGACCTGATAAATGAGGTAACCCCACTCAAGTACCTGGCACCTGGAGCTCCTTTAACCTAGGTTCCATTTCCCTCCCCCACACAAGCCACTACATGATTTGATCTAAGAGCTGAAGTGGATAATAATTCAAAATGAATAATCCAAATTGCCTCCCAATTCCCCAAACCTGTAAGGTCCCTTAAGAATCTACAAGTGTAGGGCGCCTGGGTGGCTCAGTTGGTTAAGCGACTGCCTTCAGCTCAGGTCATGATCCCAGGGTCCTGGGATCGAGCCCCGCATCGGGCTCCCTGCTTGGCAGGAAGCCTGCTTCTCTCTCTCCCCCTCCCCCTGCTTGTGTTCCCTCTCTTGCTGTGTCTCTCTCTGTCAAATAAATAAATAAAATCTTTAAAAAAAAAAAAAGAATCTACAAGTGTATTTTGCTCACAAGAGAATGAAACAAATTACTCTCAGCCAAAGTAATCTTCACTAATTCTTATTTAAACGGTCATGTTGAAAAGCAGAATACAGGTATTAAGAGAAAAATTGTAACTTTAATATGGTTAATAATATTTCAATCAACAAAAGTGGGCAGGAAAAGACCATAAAAATGTAAAAACCCCACCACTTCAGTAGTAGTATGCTTTAATATTAAGGTATTCACAAAACGTTGGGGGGGTGGACATTAAAGCATACTACTACTGAAGTGGTGGGGTTTTTATAGACGAACTTCTCATAACCCTGCGACTAAGGCACTATGTTCGGGAAAATCCACGCAAAGGGAATGAGACGCTGTTACCATTTCTGTGCTGACATTAAGACAGTTAACCCGACCGGAATCAAGTGTTTAGGGCACGCCTTCTCACCTCCCTCCGCGTGCGCCTTGCCCGCGACCTCCAGTTCACCCTAGAGGACCCCGACATTAGGTGCCAAGGCACAAGTGCAAAGAAACTTACTCTTCTCGGGAGGGAGTGGCCCGGCCGGGTCTCGAGGTCCCTGGCCGGTGGGCTCCGATTCTGAGCCGGGGCAAGGCTCAGGCCCCGGTCCCTCCTGGCCTCGCCACCCTTCGGGGCCCGAGCCGGGCGCCCCTAAACCCAGGCCAACCAGGCGCCCCCTCACCGCCCGCGGTGGCACCCCGTGCGACTCCTCAGCCCCGCACCTGAGGATGTTGTCCGCATAGGTGAGCAACAGCTTGGAGGCCTCCAGAAAGGTCTCCGGGGTGTTCTGGCACAGCTCGGCCACGGCCGGGGACGCGGAGCCCGACGCACTGCCCAGCGCCGCTGCCGCCATGCTTGAGCGCCCGCGGCCGTCGCCGCCCCTCGCGCGCCGCGTCCCGCACTGAGCAGGCGCTACAGCGCGCGGCCTCCGGTGCGGCGAGCCGGGAGGGGCGTGGCGCTCTCCCCGAAGGTGGGGGGGGTGGCGGGGAGGGGCGGGGGACTGGTCTGGAGGGGCGGGGGCGGCCTCAGCCAGGCGGGCTGGGTGGGGGCGCTCCGGGAGGTTGGGGGTTTGGACCTGGAGGGACTGGGGCCTCGTCGCCAGGGCCTCGGGGCTTCGATCAGAAAGAAGGGGCGGGGTGCTTGGTTGTCAGGGCCCGGGGGCTTCAGCGAGGAGGGGAGGGAGATGCTGGCCCGTTTGTCCCAGAAATCCGCTCCTTCCACGCCCTAGGGTGGGCTTAGATTGATCCAGCCACGAAGGTGGGGAAACCCCGTAGTACAACCACCCCTTTTCCCCCAAACAAAACAATCTTATAGCTTCCTCTTCGCAAATTGCCAGGTGTTCCTAGATACGTGTGGATGAAAAGACCCCAGAAGGAAGGAGCAACAAATGTTTAAAACCAAACGGGTGTCTGTATACTCTGCTGGGTTTCTGGTGTATAGATTCTTTTTAGAATTAGATGAATGATTGAAAAATCTTTTTCATAAGTACCAGTTCAAATAGTATGATGTCTCTGTAAAGAAGTAGTTTTCAAACCAAAGGTTGCAAAGTAGTGGGTTGTGGACTCAATTTACCGTGTAGTGACCAGCATAAACCTACATACCGTAAGGACAGAATAGAATAACATTGGGGGGGGGGGGGTGGCAGTAAAAATATGCATCTCACATAGTAAGGGTAGGTATTATTTTGTGACTTTGTATCACAGGTAGCCATCATGTCATTAATGTCCTTTATTCCTTTTAGAAGATGAATCCTAACTTCTTTAATCCATTCTCTGCCTCACCATGTCCTTGAAAGTGTACTTTACCAATGGCTTCCTTCTTTGCAGACATACCTTTCAAACCTCAACAAATATTTTTCTTGACCTTATGTTTTTAAGGTAAGTTATTTGCATAAGTAGCTTATTTAAATGTTCTTGATGACTTAATCTTCTGTTTGCTTCTTAAATTTGAAGTTTTCTTTCAGTATCTCAGAGCAAGACCTTGAACTATGCCATCTGCTTCAATTACCATTCATCTGCTAGATATGTGGGAAAAGTTTTTAATATGTAGGTTTTTGGACCAGCTTCCAAGACTAGTGTGTTTAACTGACAGTATGTTACTAGCAGCTGTAATTAAAATTTTCAGTGACTTAACACAAGAGAAATTTCTTTTTTGCTCACATAACAGTTTAAAAAGCAGGTGTCACAGACACCCGGTGGCTCAGTCAGTTAAGTGTCTGCCTTCCACTCAGGTCATGATCCTGGGGTCCTGGGATCGAGTCCTGTATCAGGCTCCTTGCTCAGCGGGGAGCCTGCTTCTCCCTCTGCCTGCAGCTTCCCCCGCTTGTGACCTCTCTTTCTCTCTCTGATGAATAAATAAAATCTTAGATAAATAAATAAAAAGCAGGTGTCATTAGTCAATGGGCAACTTTCCTCCATGTAATGACTCAGGCTCCCAGGCTCCTTCCATCCTGTAGACTAGAGGTCAAAAAACATTTTTTTGTTGGGCCAGATTGTAATGTTTAAGGCTTTGTGGCCATAGGGTCTCTGTTTCAACTCTTTAATTCTGCTTCTGCACTTGTAGTTCTGTAGACAGTACTCTGATATTAATGGACATGGCTGCATTCCCATGAAACTGTTTACAAAAACAGGCAGCCTGCTGGATTTGGCCTGTAGTTGGCTAACTCCTGCCATAGAGCCTCAGAGACTTCTGCATTTAGTAAGTGGTTGGGCAAAAAGAAGGCATACCTGCTTCTTAACCACATGGGCCCAAAATGACATACAGCATTTTCTCTACCATATAATTGGAGAAAATGAAGCCCCATCTAGATAAAAGAGGGAAGGCTGGGAAATGTAGCCCCTAGCTGGACATGTACTACCCACAACTCTAAAGGATGGAAAGGTGTGGGGAAGGGGGCCTAGAATTATAGCTAGCTGTCTCTAACCACAAACTATATTCATCTTAATTTGAGTTTCTTTTTTCACATTTATTTATCCCTATAATAGCTTAAAGTTATTATACACTATATAGTATTTTGACTTTTTTTTTAAAGTAACAACACTTTTTTTTTTTCAAATAAATTCTTAGGAAGAAACCCAGTATATAGAAAACACCAACGTGGAGATGCTCTAGAATTGAAGCCGGTGGGGGGGGGGGGGGCAGGCAGGAGGGACAGAATGCCATCAGCTTAGCCTGTCTCTTGACAGAGATAATGGCCACCAGGCATCTTTGTGGGGAGCATGCAAGCACAGTGTGAAAACCAATGCCATAGAGTTAATACTGTGATAATAATGCACAAGTCTAAAAAATCATAGAAATCATCATTTTGAGGGTAATTTAGTAAGTTATTTTAAATCACCTGAAATTTAAATCATTCCAAATTACTGTTTACCAATATTCCTGTTGAAGTTCTTGAGTAAATACCATCTCTCTTGGATATCACCATTTATGCAGCTGTTAAGAGGGCTTATTATAAGGGACTTTGACTCATTCTTTTCCCTGTCTGCTTCTTCCACTAAGTTGAAAATATTTTTTTAGTTCCTTTAGAAAAGTTGAAGATAGTAGGCTACTCTTAATCTCTTTATACTTTAACATCGCTTCAACTAAAGGTTGTTCTAGTTTTACATCAGCATTGAACTTTCCGTTGTTTTATTTTTTTTCCTCCAAAATAATTTTTTTTTAGGATTCCAGCTTTATTAAGCACACCATCATTAGAGTTGACACATGGTGGCACTATTCTTAAATGGAATAGAAAAAAGAAATAACCCATTAAATTTCCCCAGGATCAGTTTTGACATAAAAAAGAAAATACTGACCTCAGTGAAGACTGTAACAGGAGAAGGGGTGAAGCCTTTTAGGAACTGGTACGGTGATTCACTATTGTGTGATTGCATTAAGTGATTAACCAACAATTATTTATTGAGCACCTGTTGTGTACAAAGCAGTCTGATGAAGGACATAAGGGATTTTGAATCTAGTAGGAAAGACTGAACTGATGATCATAACTTACACACAGGCAGCCCTTGAATTGATGAAATAAAAAAGTTACTGTGAAAAGAAAAAAAAGTCATTGGTAAAAAAACACACAAAGCAGTGTATATATACTAACCAATAGAAGTATATCTGTTTATTCATTCATTTCATAATTCAGTCATTCACCAAATATTTGTGAAGTGGCTACTACAAGCCTGGCACTGTGCTAGGTACTGTGAAGCAGTGAAGTAGATAAGCATTGGCCCTGCTTTCATGGAAATCATGAGTTTACAGCCGTGGTTAAATCAGCATCAGCATCACCAGCAAGGAATACGGTACTAAATCATTTTTTGGCTATTGGAGTATCATAGATATTCTTACCCCTTTCCAAATCAAAGGAAAGGAGATCAGAGGTAGAAATAAAAATGAAATGACTTTTTGGTGGTTTTACTTTTCTACAAGATTTTAATTGATTTGTCACTTCTTATCCAAGGTAATCTTGTGATATTACAAAAGAAAAAACACCACATTAAAACTGTTTCATAGGAGTTTGGGTTCAAAAGAATATATTGTAGGTCTTTTCACACTGTAATTTCAACATATTGCAAACAATGAAAAGGGACAGCAAGGCTGGATATTTCTCACAAGTTTTAGTTATTTTATAACCACATGTTTGTTTAATTCCTCTTAAATTAACTCTCTAGTTAATGAATGAAGGTCATGCTAAGAAGTGACTGAATAGGCCTTGGATCAAGGAAGACTCAAGGTCATACTGTGCTTTCCTAAACTACTTTATGGAAAGTACATTTCCAAACTCGTTTAAATTCAGTACTAACCAGGAAAAGCTAAGCTTGACCAAAATTCTTCTCTAGAGCTGGGAAAGAAGGCAGAGCACTCATAAACAATTGTTTCATGGGGCGCCTGGGTGGCTCAGTCCTTAAGTGTCTGCCTTTGGCTCAGGTCATGATCCCAGAGTCCTGGGATCCAGCCCCACATGGGGCTCCCTGCTCCGCAGGAAGCCTGCTTCTCCCTCTCCCACTCCCCCTGCTTGTGTTCCCTCTCTCACTGTCTCTCTCTGTCAAATAAATAAAATCTTAAAAACAACAACAACAACAAAACAATCATTTCAAGACACACTGTCCAGAAAGAAACAAATATGGCTGGGAGGATCAGATGCAGTTTACATCGCCAATCCTTTATCTAAAAAAGAAAAAGGACACAAACCTCATACCTGGGAGAGCATGTGAGCAACGGATGGTCATCTAAATAAATACCTTGCTGTTCTTTTTTTTTTTTTATTATTTCATGTTATATTTTTCCCTTTATAGATTCACAGATAACTCTGAACAAATGAAGTTATTGTATTTTTTAGACACTTAGAAATAAATGTTTACAATCTCTGTTTTGTTTCCATTTTTGTTAGACATTGTGCATGGCATTTTTGAGCCCTGCCCCAGATCCAACAATATTTGTTTATTGTAGAAAAGACACCAAATAAGACTAGGCAAAAATGGGGGAACTTCACAATCATTGTACATCCCTGCAGATCTTAAAATAAGTAAGTAAATAAATAAATAAATGTATACACACACGTATTTTACAAGGTATATATATTTTGTAACCTGTATCTCCTAACATGGTTTCGACCTCTTTCCACATAATATTCACTTACGAAATTATTTTAAATGGCTGCACAGCCTTTAGTTGTACTACAAAATAACCCATTTCCTGATGTTGGGCACTTTGGTTAGTTCTACTTTACTATTATAAACAACTTTGGGAGGTACAGTAATAACTTTAAGGCTACAGTAATTTCCTTAATTCTTCCCAAGGATTTCAGTAGAATATGACAGCGTCCCTTCTCCCAGCAGATGGAAATATATGGACATCATTACCCCCTCCCCTCCCCCCCCAAATCCTTTTCTGATGGGCAAAAAAACTATCTCCTCCGTCCTGTGCACGTTCTTGATTATCATCGTCACTGAAGTCGCACGAGGGCCGTTCCCTCCCGCGCAACCTGAGCCTCACCGTCTCCCGCGGTCTGACCTCTACCAAGGTGACGCGAAGGAAGGGCCACCGGCCGCACCCGGCTCAGACGTAACGCGTGCGTGCGCGCGCGCATGAGCGGACGTGCGTGTGCAGACGGCGGCTGCGCGGGCGGCCCGAGGCCTGGTGAAGGTATCAGCTGCTTGCTACGCTTCTCCTTCCGCTTCTCCACCGCCAGATCGGGTGGGGGTTGGATCGGAGAAGGGGAGTCTGGTGACCTGGGCCTGGTTTCTTTTCCTCTCGGCGTGCTTTCTTCGGGGGTGGGGGGCGTGGGGGGGTGTGGTGCTTGGGAGGCGCTGTGGGAGTTGGCCACGCCCCCTCACTCCCAAACCCCGCCCCTGGGTTAAAACCCTAATTAGCTCCACGTTTTGAAGATCAATAACGTTCACTTACCCCTACCTCAAAGAATAGGCCCTGAAGTGTCTTTTGTGTCATTGGCACCAGAAATACCACTTAGCCTGAGGCCTCAGTAATCCTGAAAAAGGATGCTTTCTGCAGTCCATAAAAAGCTGGGAGTGCCTTTATATTTTTCATGGTGTAATTCTATTGTGGTGAATTGAATGAATCATCATTTCACCTCTTTGTCTTGGAATGTCTGAGGGTACTTACAGTCTAAAAAGGGAACTCCAAACAGTTGGTTTGACGATAAGTATAAATTAAAGTGATGTTAACGTTATTTTCCCTGTGTTCGTTAACAGCTCACACCGAGCCCCTGAAAGAAGTTTTCGGCTATTGTTTCTTAGTCCTATCAGCTATTTAAACGACAGTGATTACCTCCTGAACGTGTTGTGATCTGTTACAGGAATGTGTTTCTGATCATCTGAATCTCAACCATGTTGTCAAACTGCTTGCAAAATTTATTAAAAATTACAAGCACTCATCTATATTCAAGATTATGCCAGCGATTATTAGGAAGTAGAAGGTTTTTCGGAACTGTGCCAACGTTCAAATTTTGTAGGCGGGTCGTCATTACAGGCATTGGCTTAGTGACTCCTCTGGGTGTTGGGACTCAGCTGGTCTGGGATCGTCTTATCCGAGGAGAGAGTGGAATTATTTCACTGGTCGGTGAGGAGTATAAGAATATCCCTTGCAGTGTTGCTGCTTATGTGCCAAGAGGTTGTGATGAAGGTCAGTTCAATGAACAAAACTTTGTGTCCAAATCCGATATCAAGTCCATGTCTTCTCCCACCATTATGGCCATTGGGGCTGCAGAGTTAGCCATGAAAGATTCTGGCTGGCATCCTCAATCAGAAGCTGATCAAATGGCTACCGGAGTTGCAATTGGCATGGGAATGGTTCCTCTTGAAGTTGTTTCTGAAACTGCTTTGATGTTTCAGACAAAAGGTTATAGTAAAGTCAGCCCATTCTTTGTCCCTAAGATTCTGGTCAATATGGCAGCAGGCCAGGTCAGCATTCGATATAAACTCAAGGGCCCCAATCATGCGGTGTCTACAGCCTGTACCACAGGAGCTCATGCTGTGGGAGACTCTTTTAGATTTATAGCCCGTGGTGATGCTGATGTGATGGTGGCTGGAGGTACAGATTCTTGCATTAGTCCTTTATCTCTTGCTGGGTTTTCCAGAGCCCGTGCTCTGAGCACAAACCCTGATCCTAAGTTGGCATGTCGACCATTTCATCCAAAGAGAGATGGTTTTGTAATGGGAGAAGGTGCAGCTGTGCTGGTGCTGGAAGAATATGATCATGCTGTTCAACGAGGGGCCCGGATCTATGCAGAAGTTTTGGGCTATGGACTCTCAGGTGATGCTGGTCACATAACTGCGCCTGACCCTGAAGGAGAAGGTGCCTTAAGGTAAAGACTTGTTTTGTTTTTAAAAGATTTATTTACCTATTTGAGAGAGAGAGAGAGAAAGAGCATGTGTGGGGGAGGAGCAGAGGGAGAGGAGAGAGAATCCCAAGCAGAGTCCACGCCAATCCCATGATCCCAGGACCCCAAGATCACAACCTGAGCTGAAACCAGGATCCACTCACCCAAAGGCCGTTCAACCAGCTGCGCCACCCAGGTGCCCCAAGACTTGTTCTATTTAAAATATTTCTTCAAATAAGACATTTTATTAGACTTTCAAATTGGGGAGTCCAATATAGTAGTATCTGCCCTTGGTGTACAGTATCTTTGATGTTTTTCCATTTTAGACTAGACAAAATGGTTTTGAATTCTTTGCTTTAACATGTTTGAAAGATTTGAAACCATTTGAACATCCTTAACAAACATTGGATTTTAGTTAAGGCCTGTAAAGTTGTGAAGAGGGCCATGTGTGTCTTTGCCAATTTTTCATACTTCCAGTTGTGCTTAACAACTGTCAGAGTGCTCGTTCCCACAGTCCTCCTCTTTGGCCCTTCATCAGACTCAGACAGTAAAGTCAACCCTTCTAGTTGTGTCTGGTCTCTCTGCCATTTCAACAGGGTTCTGCTGTTATTAAAACAGTACTTTCTAACTTTTCACTAACCAGGGATTCTGACTCTAGGCCTGGGGTGGTGCTAGAGATTCTGCCTTTCTAACAAGCTCCCATGATGCTGATGCTGCTGGTCTGAGGACCACAATTTGAAAAGCAAGTTGATATTGCAGAAGAGATAGTTAAAAAAAAAAAAAAAAAAAAATCCCTGTTAATGTGTTAGCTAATAGGTTAGCTTGCTTAGATCATATAATGTTTTTTGTTTTTTTGTTTTTTTTAAATAATTCTTTTTTTTTTTTTTTTTTTAAAGATTTATTTACTTGACAGAGAGAGAGACAGAGAGAGAGGGAATACAAGCAGGGGGTGTGGGAGAGGGAGAAGCAGGCTTCCCACTGAGCAGGGAGCCCGATACAGGGCTTGATCCCAGGACCCTGGGATCATAACCTCAGCCGAAGGCAGACGCTTAACGACTGAGCTACCCAGGCGACCCTAAATAATTCTTATTTATTTATTTGACAGAGAGCGAGCGAGAGAGAACAAGCAGGTGGAATAGCAGGGAGAGGGAGAAGGAGAAGCAGGCTCCCTGCTGAGCAGGGAGCCCGATGCAGGACTCGATCCCAGGACCCTGAGATCATGACCTGAGCCAAGGCAGTCACTTAACCAACCGAGCCACCCAGGCGCCCGATCATACTATGTTTTAACCAGTTAACTTGACCAAGAGTTGGCAAACCTTTTCTGTAAAGGGACAAATAGTATTTTCAGCTTTGTGGGCCATAGGGTCTCTGTCACAATTATTCAAATCTGTCTTCTAGTGTGAAAGCAGCCATAGACAATACAAAATGAATGGATGTACTCCAGTGAAAGTACAGTTGACCTTTGAACAATGCAGGGGTCAGGGGCACTGGCCCACCGTGCAGTCAAAAATCCATGTATAACTTTTGACTCCTCCAAAACTTAACTACTAATAGGCTATTGTTGACAAAAAGCCTTCCTAATAACATAGTCAACGTACACATATTTTGTGCATGTATTATATACTGTTTTCTTACAAAAGGTAAACTAGAGAAAAGAAAATGTTATTTAGAAAATCATAAGGAGGAGAAAATACATTTACAGTACAGTAGTGTAAAAAATCCACATGTAAGTGGACCCACACAGTTCAAACCCATATTATTCAGGGGTCAACTGTGTTTGTAAAAACAGGCATCTGGCCAGGGCCATACTTTACTGGCCCCTGAATTATGCTTTTGAGTTTTAGTAAATAATTGCTGGTGCTAGAAGTGTCAAACAAAGTAGCCAGCTACATGAAGAACTAGTTATATTTAGGCGAAACCCTTCATCACACTTCAGATTATACCCTGAGCTGCCTCTTAAGGACATATATGCAACCCAGAGATCAGGAGCTAAAACAGAAGGTGTTGACATTCATGATGTTTTCGAAGATTCTTCCAGAGCAGTGTTTTATTTTTGGATTTGTTTGTTTTTTGGCTTGGCGTTGTATTTCATTGATTTAGAATTCTTAAAGCCTAAATAGAATTTTGAAAGGTTATTTGAAGCACCAAAGTAATGGTGCAGACATCTTTAGATTATTGGGAAGTATGCCAAGTTTTATATTTAAATGTGAGAAAAAATTAAAACACGGTTATAAAATTTTTCTCCACATTTAGAATCACTACACACACACACACACAATGCACACCCCACTGATAAAAAATTCCTAGAAGAAAAACTGTTCTAGGCTTGAGTCAACATGGTTTTTCCCCAGGGAAAAATATCAGTTCAAATAAATGGAAATACATTTTGTTAGAGATTATAAAACCCATAGGCCTGTGTATTTATCTCATGGTGTTGAATCAGTCCAGGGTACTGGGGGTGACTCATTATTCCTGTGCAGGTGGCATTCTAACTCCTATGGTAATCCAAGTTGGGGTTCTGTTATTAGAGGAAAGGAGTCTCTTCATCCAGCATATATGTTTATTTCTTTCTCATAAGCCATATAAGGACTCCTGTGTTCGAATTAAACTTAGTTCTGATAAATTTGTTTCCGTATTTTATTAGATGTATGGCTGCAGCTGTAAAAGATGCAGGTGTGCAACCTGAAGAGATATCCTATGTCAACGCACATGCTACTTCCACCCCATTGGGAGATGCTGCTGAAAACAAAGCTATCAAACATCTTTTCAAAGACCATGCACCTGCCCTTGCAGTTTCTTCAACTAAGGGAGCCACGGGACATCTGTTGGGAGCTGCAGGGGCGGTTGAGGCAGCTTTTACTGCTCTGGCTTGTTATTATCAAAAACTACCACCTACTTTAAACCTGGATTGTACAGAACCAGAATTTGATCTCAATTATGTTCCACTAAAGGCACAGGAATGGAAAATTGAGAAAAGACGTATTGGACTCAGCAATTCCTTTGGTTTTGGTGGTACTAATGCAACACTTTGTATTGCTGGCATGTAGGACAAATCATTTGTAATTAAACATTGATATTTAAAAAATATTATGAACTATATTAAGTGGAGAAGTAAAATGTTTATATAAATATATCAATAGGATCAATCTATATATCATTCTGTATCAATACCCATATACCCTTTATCTGTGTCAGGGTTTCTCAGCCCTGCCACTATTGATATTTTGGACAGGATAATTCTTTGTTGGGGTAAGGGGAGCTGTCCTATATATTATAGGATGCTTGGCAGCATCCTCATCTTTACCCACTAGATTCCAGAAGCACGGTCTTCTCTAGTTGTGACAACCAAAATGTCTCTAGACATTGCCAGGTATTTTCTGGCTGGTGAAATAGTCCCCATATGAGAACCACTGATCTCTATTTTCCTAATACTCTAGGTCACACAGCTCTTTGATGTTTCACCTGCACTTGTCTCTTCCACAAACATTTGGTGAGTAGCTGCTCTGTGCTAGGCAAGGTTGTTGCATTGTACAACTCCAGGCATGCCATTCCCATAGGAGAAGGAATACAAATATAACGGAGTTTGCCTCAGTGATCAGCATTCTTTGAATAAAGCAGTCAGCCAGCAATGAGCTCTTTACTCCTTCTATCTAGCTAGCTCTCTTTTCTTCGTATTATCTATACAGAGATGCAGTAGATCAGTGGAATTTCCCTAAACGTCCAAGTTGTGAGTTCTCTGAAAGAAGGAGGTAAGATTGGTTTGGTGTTTCTTACTCTTTTTCTATTTATGGTGGCAGCTAGTAATTAATGGAGATAAAGGTCCTTGGGAACTTGTTGGTGACTTAAGCCACATCACCTCAGCCCACCTTTATTGCAGCTATGGTAGATAATTTTTGTGTCTGCTTCTAATGTCCCCTGCCAGTGCTGATGGTGCCGCTAATTTTCCACCCTGGGGCTTTGTCTGAAGATGTTTTGAGAGCTCATTCATCCCCATCTGGCTGGGAGTATTGGGAAGGGGACAGGGACAAGTTCCCTCGAGCAGCAGTCAAAACCAGTGAGGGATGGGGTTAGTGGTTAAGTGTGTCAGCCTCCTCTCAGAGGGATAGCTCATGTTCTCCGAAGTTCTTCAGGGGGTTTCTGGTCAGATAAAACTTCAGTGCTCAAGGCATTAACCAGCTCAATAACCTTCTTTATTGGCTTTTACCCCCTACCCTTTCCTCCTTTCCTTTTATCCTGTTCCTGGGAATCACCTCCCCAACAAACTTCCTTGCATTAGGCTCTGCTTTGTGGGGGACTCAGACTAAGGCAAGAAGTATGTGTTGAAATGGGGTTTATATAGCAAAGGGATAGAGTGAGTAAGTGGATAAATGGAGCATGTATATTTCTGCAGAACTGAATAGTGTTCCACCCGTTTTAATAGGCTGGATATATTGTCTGCCTACTGACCTTGACTATGGCACTCTATCCCCTGTATGACTAAAACTGCAGCCATGCTCATTCAGTTATAATCTGTTTTAACTGTCACTGGCACATATTAATTTCCTCAGCCAAAATTTGTTGGGTGCTAACTATGGCCCTGGTTTTGTACTGGCCACTGATAATAAAGTGATATGTCAGGGGGAAGTTTTCCTAAAAGAAGCTGAGCCCATAAGGGTGCATAGGTCTCAGCCAGGTTAAGGGGAAGAGAGGAAAGGAAGGAGGAGTATTGCAGTCTTGAGGAATAGTGTAGAAAGGTTAGAAAAGCTAGAACATTTGTACTAAACATAAATACATACAGCCTGAGATTGGGGGTGGTGGTGGCGAGGAATAGGAGATAAAGCAAAAAATCTGCTGCAAGTCAGGTCACAAGGACCCTTACAAGTTTTGTTAAGGACATAAAAGTAATGGGAGGTCATTTAAGGCAAGGCTAGGATGGTTTTGTAAGGTGTCGACTTGGCTAGGCTGACCTACATTTCCTAGAATTCTGTTTATGTTGTTGGTTAGTGCTGGCCATAAGAGATTCTTGTGGGAGATTTGGGGAGTCGGGGGTGAAGCAGCAGCCATTTTGTAGCAGATACATGTTGGGGCTTTGCTGGCTCACCTTGATGACAAGGCAGTGGCTGAACCCGCAACTGCTTTCCCTTCCGTTGGATCTTCCTTCCATTTCCCTGACTCCTGGACCAGGTATGTGTCTAGCTCCATGAAGGGCCCCAGCTTTGCCCCATACCACCGCCGTCAGACGCAGCAAGGCCTGAGTGGTTTCAGTTCATTCCCACGGTGGTGGGTTCCAGCTTGTTACTGAAACTTCACATCCATCTTCCCTTCCCAGCTGCCTGCCCTGTGGACTTCAGATTCCAGCATCAGAGGATAACAGGTGAACATAACAGCCTCATAGAGACTGTTTAACCACTTCTCCCAGAAGAGGAAGCTTAGTGGGACATATAGCTCCTAATGCTGCGGTAGGTTTCAGGTTCACGCTGGTCCTCATCCTCCCCATAATCCACTATTCATCCTAAATTCCTCCTTGCACTCAGCTGTTACCTTGGCAGGCCTTGCTGGCTCTCCTGGTGGTGTGACTCAAACCTTCATTCCCGACAGCCTGGGCCCTAGGCAATCATACCACACCTTTTCCAGACAGCAGTTGCTGTTTGTGTCTAGACCACTGGCATCAGGAGGCAAGGAAATACCAGAAGGCACCCAGGTACACCACTTAGATTCCACACATACTCTCCCTGTCCTCCTTGTAAAGCAGCGCCACCTTCTTCAGCTGATTAGGGTCAAATACCACAGCCAGTATGTTGACTTTCTGGGCTCTGGGCACAAGGAGTCCAAAGTGTCCTAGTGGTAACTATAGTTTGTTGTTCAGTGAGACACTTTCTGTGTTTCCTGGCAAGAGTATGTATACCCTTTGGAGACCAGAATTCTAACACTGCAGAGCCCAGAGTTGCAAGGATGGGAAGTATAAAATTCACCATTGTGATTGAATCATTGGGAGTGATGGTAAGTGGGGCCACTCCTGTTCCCCACACCCTTTGTGTTCTACCTACTGGGGACTTGGCCCCATACAGAAGTCTTTGATTTTAGCATATACTGCATCTTGAAGATGGCACCACATTCAGGATATTGCTTTTGAGCCACTCATTAAGGTTTGCCTTTAGAAGACTGTTCCAGCATTCTCTGAGGCTGGCTGCTTCTGGATAGTATGACATGGGATACAACTCATGGATCCCATGTCATTGGCCTGCTCCCATGGTCCATCCCCTTTGCTGTGCCAGAAGACCCCCTTGCTCAGTATTGGAGGAGTCATCAAGAGGATGTGTGTCACAGAAATAACCAAATTTCCGTGTTAATCACATTGTAATGAACTCTTACCAGAGCTTAACCATAGCTATTTTTAAGTCTTTTGTCATTTACAGACAGTTATTGTTGTACTCCGATGCCCTTGCAGAAGTGTTCCTGCAAAAGTGCTTCATCTTCTAGGAGATTCACGGAAAAGACTGACAAATACAGGTGTCTGATAACTAAGATCATACTACTGAACTAATAAGAATTTATAGAACTCTAAGGGAAAAACTGATGATGTCTATAATTTTTATGACTTTTTATTGGAAACGTTGATTTTTTTGTTTTGTTTTTCCAGATTTAAGAAAACCTTTTTTCTTAAGCTATCAGCAATTTGCCAACATATACCTTTATGAACAAAGTTGAAACATTTTTCTTTTCTTCCCTACCTGATCCCTCCAGAATTTGGAAACTCTTAATGTGTATTATTATTTTCACGTCCATATAGTTATTTGCATAAGTTCGGTAAGAATCTGTTCTCCTTGTAACAGGAAAGAACTACAGCAGCCAGTGAGTTGAACTCAGAGCAGTTTGGCTGGTGATCACTCATGAGCCCTGGCCATTAACCTTTGTACTGACAGTTGGGCTATTCTAAAGGGATTAACCCCATGGCTTGGACCAGCGGGAAGGTGAGAGATGGATGATCATGAATAAGCCCTTGTGAGGTCAGGATATGTGGAAAGACATTTGGGTTCACCTGCAAGGGCCTTAGACATTTCTCACTGCCTTCTATATCCCAGCTCGTAAGGCACTGATACTTCCTGGCAATCAGGAAGTTAATGCCATAGCTCTGTATGAGCCCTCGCACTGACCCTTCAGTAGATGCCACCTTAGTGCCCAGGTGGAATGGCATATTGCCAAGAATGTGAAATTGCCCTTGAAATACAGACACTTGGTTAATGCAGTAACAACATGTCTTGTGTGTCCTAAACAATGCCCAAGGCAATTGCCAAAAGACTCTAGGGCCGTTCACTGGAGTTCCCAACCGATGAGGGATTGGCAAATTGATGATGTTGGCCCTCTCCCTCCAAGTGAGGGTTCTAAATATGCCTTGGTTTGTGTCGACACTGTGTCTGGCCTAACCCAAGCATTCCTCTGTCACTGCACAAACCATTGCCACCACTAGGGTATTAGAGACGCTAAGTACCATGTAGATACCCTCATCAAATAGATAGTGATCAGGGGTCACATTGCAGATGTCATGATGTACAAAACTGGGCAAAATAGTATGATATCAAATGGAGGTTCCATCTTCCCTGTAATCTGCAAGCAATAGATTAAATTACTAGAGGGTAAAACCACCTTGCCCGGGTAGACTAAGGTACTATCCCATGTTTTAATACATTTGAATGATCAACCAGTAGCGCCTGTTGCTCTGTATGCCAGACTGAGGACCCTGCTGAGATACCCAGTACCACAAAGGTATGGGAATTGTGGGAAATAGCCACCCCCCAACTGTCACCATGGATCAAAGTGCAATGCTGCTGAGAGTACCAAGTCCCATGATGTCTGGGAAAGGTGTTACTGGAATTTGCAATGGGATGTCCCACCAGAATGGATGAATAATTACTTTGCACCCCTGGGTGTGGAGGAACTACTTAATCTCCACTGGGATCCAGTTATCCTCTGCAAGCTGGACCTTTGAAATGTACTATACCTGGAATGAAGCATGCACCATTGTAAACAGGGAGAAGGTAGAGGTCCTGGTCTGGCATATCCGGCCCCCAGTCCATCTCCTCATGCCTGAACCGTGCTGCTTCCCCCAGGAAACAGGCAGG